TTCTATCTGACCACCATGGACTTAAGCTGGACCTCAACAACAACAGAAATAACAAACAGCCTACACGCACATGGAAATTGAACAACCTGTTACTCAACGACAGCTGGGTTAAGGAAGAAGTAAAGAAAGAAATTAAAGACTTCCTAGAATTCAATGAAAATGAAGGCACAACATACCCAAATTTATGGGACACATTGAAAGCAGTGCTCAGGGGAAAATTTATAGCACTAAGTGCCTGCAAGAAGAAATTTGTAACATCACATACAAACAACTTAATGGCCCAACTGAAAACCCTAGAAAAAAAAAGAAGCAGATACACCCAAGAGGAGCAGAAGGCTGGAAATAATCAAACTCAGGGCTGAAATCAATCAATTAGAAACAAATAAAAAACTATTCAAAGAATCAATGAAACAAAAAGCTGGTTCTTTGAGAAAATCAACAAGATAGACAAACCCTTAGCCAAACTAACTAAAAAGCAGAGAGAATCTATCCAAATCAACAAAATCAGAGATGAAAAGGGTGACATAACTACAGACACAGAGGAAATTCAAACAATCATTAGGTCATACTACAAAAGCCTATATGCCACAAAATTTGAAAATCTAAATGAAATGGACAATTTTCTTGATAGATTCCATCTTCCAACATTAAGTCAAGATCAGGTAGAAAGACTGACCAGCCCTATATCCCCCAAGGAAATTGAAGCAGTCATTCACTGTCTCCCCTCCAAAAAAAGCCCTGGGCCAGATGGTTTCAGCATGGAATTATACCAGACCTTCAAAGAAGTGCTCACACCAATTCTCCTCAAACTATTCCACAAAATAGAAACAGAAGGTACATTACCAAACTCATTCTATGAAGCAACAGTCACCCTGATACCTAAACCACACAAAGACCCAACAAAAAAAAGAGAACTTCAGACCTCTCTCTCTTATGAACATTGACCCAAAAATACTCAATAAAATACTTGCAAACTGAATCCAAGAACACATCAAAGATATCATCCACCACGACCAAGTAGGCTTCATCCCAAGCATGCAAGGGTGGTTCAACATACGGAAATCCATCAATGTAATCCACCACATAAACAAACTGAAGGAGAAAAACCACATGATCATCTCCCCTTAGATGCTGAAAAAGCATTTGACAAAATCCAACACCCATTCATGTTTAAAGTCTTGGAGAGATCAAGAGTACAAGGCACATACCTAAACATAGTAAAGACAATATACAGCAAGCCTATAGCCAACATCAAACTCAATGGAGAGAAACTTAAATCATTCCCACTGAAATCAGGAACAAGGCAAGGCTGCCCACTCTCTCCATACCTCTTCAACATAGTACTTGAAGTCCTAGCCAGAGCAATAAGACAACTAAAGGAGATCAAGGGGATACAAATCGGAAAGGAAGAGGTCAAAGTGTCACTATTCGCAGATGATATGATAGTATACATGAGTGACCCCAAAAATTCAACCAGAGAACTCCTTCAGCTGATAAACACCTTCAGCAAAGTGGCAGGATACAAAATCAACTCAAAAAAATCAGAAGCCCTCCTGTATACCAAAGACAAAAGGGCCGAGAAAGAAATTAGGGAAACAACACCCTTCACAATAGCCACTAACCACATAAAGTACCTTGGGGTGACACTAACCAAGCAAGTGAAAGACCCGTTTGAGAAAAATTTCAAGTCTCTGAAGAAAGAAATTGAAGAAGATCTCAGAAGATGGAAAGATCTCCCGTGCTCATGGATTGGTAGGATTAACATTGTGAAAATGGCCATCCTGCCAAAAGCAATCTACAGATTCAATGCAATTCCCATCAAAATACCAACTCAATTCTATACAGACCTTGAAAAAAAAGATTCTCAGCTTCATATGGAGAAACAAAAAACCCAGAATCTCCAAAACAATCCTGTACAACAACAGATCATCTGGAGGTATCTCCATCCCCGATCTCAAGTTGTACTACAGAGCAATAGTAATAAAAATTGCATGGTATTGGCATAAAAACGGAAAGGAGGATCAATGGAACCACATAGAAGACCCAGAAATAAACCCACAAACCTATGAATACTCGATTTTTGACAAAGAAGCCAAAACCATTCAATGGAAAAAAGACAGCATCTTCAACAAATGGTGCTGGTCTAATTGGATGTCCACATGCAGAAAAATGAAAATAGATCCATATTTATCACCCTGCACAAAATTAAAGTCCAAGTGGATCAAAGACCTCAACATAAAACCAGATACTCTAAATCTGTTAGAAGAAAAAGTGGGGAACAGCCTAGAACTCATTGGCACAGGAGACAACTTCCTGAACAGAACACCAACAGCACAGGCTCTAAGAGCAACAATCAATAAATGGGACCTCATGAAACTGAACAGCTTCTGTAAAGCAAAGGACACTGTCATCAAAAAAGAACGCCTGCCTACAGATTGGGAAAGAATCTTCACTAACCCTTTATCTGACAGAGGACTAATATCGAGTATATACAAAGAACTAAAAAAGCTGAAAAGCAGCAAACCAAGTAATCCACTTAAAAAATGGGGAACAGAGCGAAACAGAGAATTCTCGACAGAGGAATATCGAATGGCAGAGAAACACTTAAAGAAATGCTCATCCTCATTAGCCATCAGGGAAATGCAAATCAAAACGACCCTGAGATATCACCTTATACCCATCAGAATGGCCAAGATGAAAAACTCAAGGGACAACACATGCTGGAGAGGTTGTGGAGAAAGGGGAACCCTCCTCCACTGCTGGTGGGAATGTAAACTGGTACAACCACTCTGGAAATCTATCTGGCGCTTTCTAAGACAATTAGGAATAGTGCTTCCTCAAGACCCAGCTATACCACTGCTAGGTATATACCCAAAGTTTGCTCAAGTACACAAAAGGGATATTTGCTCAGCCATGTTTATAGCAGCATTATTTGTAATAGCCAGAACCTGGAAACAACCCAGATGTCCATCAACGGAGGAATGGGTACAGAAATTGTGGTATTTTTACACAATGGAATACTACTCAGCAATCAAAAAGGAGGAAATCATGAAATTTGCAGGCAAATGGTGGGATCTAGAAAAGATCATCCTGAGTGAAATATCCCAGAAGGAGAAAGACAAACACGGTATATACTCACTTATATAGACCTATAAGATATGATAAACATAATGAAATCTATACACCTAAAAAAGATAATCAAGAGAGCGGACATGGGGTAAGATTATCAATCCTTATGTTGAAAGACAGAGGGGATGTGCATTGAACATTGACAGGAGTCTACTGAGCGCATTTGAAAGACTCTAACTAGCAGTGTTTTCAAAGCAAAGACTCATGACCAAACTTTTGGCAGAGTACAGGGAATCATAACAAAGATGGGGAGTTAGTCTGATGAGGAAATTATAGGAGCTCCACAAGGACCAAATATATCTGGGCACAGGGTCTTTTCTGAGACTGACATGCAACCAAGGACCATGTATGAATGTAACCTAGAACCCCTGCTCAGATGTAGCCTGTGGTAGCTCAGTAACCAATTGGTTTCCCATAGTGAGGGGAACAAGGACTGTTTCTAACAGGAACTCAATGACTGGCTCTTTGGCCTCCCCACCCCCCAAGGGAGGAGCAGTCCTGTTAGGCCACAGAGGAGAGCATTGCAGCCAGTCCTGAAGATACCTGATAAAACAGGATCAGATGAATGGGGAGGAGGTCCCCCCTATCAGTGGACTTGGCAAGGGGCACGGTGGAGATGAGGGAGGGAGGGTGGAATAGGGAGGGAATGAGGGATTGGGACACGGCTGGGGTACAGAGTTAATAAAATGTAACTGATAAGAAAAAAATAAAATTCAAAAAAAAGATGATATTAGCCATATGATATAGGAAAAACATACTAAAGTCTATAGTCCAAAAGAAGCTAAACAACAAGAAGAACCTTAGGGAAGAGGCTTAAACCTCACTAGGCAGGGCAAATAGGATAGATATCGGAAGTAGGAGAACACAAGGAACAGGATAGGAGCCTTCCACTGAGGGCTTCTGAATGACTCTGCCCATCAGGGTATGGAAAGAGATATTGAGATTCATAGCCAAACTTTGGGCAAAGTGCAGGAAACCTTATGGAAAAAGAAGAAGATAGAAAGTTCTGGAGGGGACAGGAACTCCACAGAGAGACCAAGAGAGCCAAAAAACGTGGGTCCAGGGTGGCCTGCAGAGACAGATACTCCAACCAAAAACCATGCATGGAGAGGACCTAGACCCCCCTGCTCAGTATCCAAGTGGATTCCCGCTTAAGGGAAGCAGGGGCTGTCTCTGACATAAACTCAGTGGCTAGCTCTTTTATCACCTCTCCCTGAGGGGTGCAACCTTGCCAGGCCACAGAGGAAGAAGATGCTGCCAGCCCTGCTGAGACCTGATAGGCTAGGGTCAGATAGAAGGGGAAGAGGACCTCCCCTATCAGTGGATGGACCTCCCCTATCAGTGGACTAGGGAAGGGACATAGGTGGAGAAGAGGGAGAGTGTGTGGTACTGGGAGGAGATGAGAGAGGGGGCTACAGCTAGGACACAAATTGAATAAATTGTATTAAATAAATTAATTAATTAAAAAAGAAATGGAGCCTTATCACATAAACTTATAGGTTGCTTTGTGGAGAAATGTTTACATAAGGAAACATTTAATTTAAGTTATTCTTTTCATTCTTTGATGTCTTGGGTATATACTATAAAATATTTTTTTTCTCATTTTGAAGAAAAAGAAACAAATGTAGCTCAGAACTAAGGTCAGTTCATTCACTCACCCTTTCATTCATTCATTCATTCAGTCAGTCAGTCATTATTCATTCACATTTTAAATTCCATGCATCATTATATAGAACATTCATTCTGTGTGCACTGCACAAACTTTGAAAATGCTTTAGCTATTGCTGGAACTTACTGGCAGAGTTGAATAGCTCTTTAGTGGGAGTGAGGATTGAAAGAAAATTAAAAAAACAAAGACACTACACATGGAATCTGTTCAAGAGGGTTTCTAGTAGAAACTAGGCACCCTGGTTTATTCTATAGTCTCTTTTTATAGTCAGAGCAAAGCACTTTGATACAATGACGTTTATGGAGAAGTCAAGCTTGTTTACCTCGACCACCTGTCTGTAGCATTAAAGTTTGAATCTTGTGTAAAAATGTTGACATTTCCAAGCAACAAAGCATAAGGAGAATCTACATAGGCGATTATAGGGCCTTCTAAGAGCTTCTGCGGCAAGCTTCCAAATATGTGTGTGCTGAAAACCAGAATCAGACCTAAGTCCCATAGTCAGTCCTATTTTCCCATTTTTCCTGATTTTGTTGAGAATTGTCCTGATTACCAGATCAATCAAGTATAGTCACGTTGTATCTAAGAGGTTTCTCTGCACATCTTTTCCCAGGAGCAGAATGAAACAAAGGTGGGTCAGGAGCATAAGCCCAATACAGCTCTCCATTCACCATCAGGACAGAATTCACCATGGTCATCAGCAGGAACATCCTCCTTCAGGGGAACATCTGCAAATAGCACCAACCTTTCTGGGATCCACCTGGCTCCTTCTGAGTCCTGTGGAAAAACACAAACATGCCATCTTCCCCATATTAATACAGAGTTGGCGTCCTTCCATATTCCAGTAATTGGATATTTCCATTTCACTTGGGCATAATAATCTTTGGTACTAAGGAGCCACAATCGATCAGCTACAAAATGGCCTTGTATATCTACATTCAAAAAATTTAAAATAAAACATGATTACGATTTAGGGATATGACTCCCCCTTTCTTATTTTTTGTAATTTGTTCTTAAGAGATCCATGGGCACATGCCACAATTCCTTGACCTTGAGGATTATATGGAATACCCGTTTTATGACTTATATTCATTTGGGCATATAAATGCCAAAAGGCTTGACTAAAATATGCAGTACCATTATCAGTCTTTATAACGGAAGGAATACCTATTGTAGCAAAACATTTTAAGCAATGACTTATAACATGTTTGGTAGCTTCTCCTGCTTAGGGAATTGCCATTATAAATCCTAAAAAAGCATCAGTTGTTGGGTGAACATATTTTAGTTTTCCAAATTCTGGGATATGAGTCATATGCATTGTTGTTTAGAATGGTTCCAGCCCTAGGTTTTGAGTAAGTTAACTTTATGTTACAGATTTTAAACATACCCAATGACCAATCATCTATAACCAAGACAAATTGAACATGGTAACTTATACATTTAAGACAGACAGACAAACACCTTGCTATTTGTTGAATCCAATTTTTTTTTTTTTTTACCACAGAAGCTTTGTAGCAGAATTAACTATTCACTTTCTTACTGGAAAAACTGAGAAGCTTACCCCCCTCTTCTTTTCTATCTCAAGTGATTTTAGATGTTACTTGACACTACTCAGCAAATTTTGACTTCCATAATAAATTATCTTCTCCTGTCAACCATTCTCTTGCTAATTACTTCCAGTCGCTTGGGCAGAGAGCCTCAGTTGGCAAGGACTCTAATAGAGCTTGAGTAAAAGGTGCTCTAGTACCATATTGAGTGCATGCAATTTTCAATTCTTTCAACTGTTTAAAAGATACAGGTGCATGAAGTCTCACCACATTACCCTGTCCATCAGGTTGCTGTATAATTGGGAAGCCATAAAACTCAGTTATATCTTCTTCTTTCTGCCTAGCTTGTTCTTCCTCTAACTTTGCAACCACATCAGAATCTAAGTTATTCTCAAAGTTTTCTTCCAACAAGAAATTATCATTAGGAGGGACAAATAACTCTTCTGGAGGAGCCAATGGTTTAATCTCATTTTGTCTTGAAGCCTCCCATCTTTCCTCTTTTTCTCTAACCCTGAAAGTTTCACTTTCTTAGTCCTGTGCCACACATACAGAATATTTCTAATTAAATTCCCACTTTTACTTTTGAATCTTACTTATTGCATCCTTTTCTCTTTACTTTATGATCCGAGCTTGCCAACACCCATGGTGTCCTTCACTGCTTCCCCGTATCTCAGGTCCCTGTTTGGGCACCAAATTGTTGGAGCCCACCTGCAGAGTCAAACCACTCTTGAGTGGAGAGTGAGGATTGAAAGAAAATTAAAAAAAAAAAACAACAACAACAACAAAAAACAAGACACTGCACATGGGATCTGTTCGAGAGGGCTGTTTCTATAATTTCCAACAGAAACTAGGCACCCTGGTTTATTCCATAGTCCTTTTTTATAGTTGGAACAAAGCACTTTGATACACTGAAGTTCATTGAGAAGTTAAGCTTGTTTACCTTGATCACCTGTCTGTGTGATCATCACAAAAAGAAAAGGAAGTGAACTTGGAAAAAACATCCTGCCTACTGTCACAAACAAAAGGAAGTGAACACTTGGCAATATATCCTGTCTATCCGTGTCTCTAGGTGAAGGCCAGGGTAAAACATGTTTTTCGCTGAGAGCTCAATACTAAAGTATCCTGACAAACAAGTGACTCTCCACACACTATAGACACTTGACCTTAGCATTTTTTATCTAGCTGAGGAAATAAAATATACTCATTTAAATAGAGTGGCAGCTAATATATGAGAAATCATGTTGGATGCCTCTGTTTTACTGTAAATACCAATAATGTCAAGTTTTGGTCTAGAAGAAGGAATGAAGTTTGGTTTTAGAAGGATTGCTACACCACCCTGGGATCTTAAGCAGGATGTAAATTTCTTGTCGATGTGTCATTCATATTCATATAAGATACTGAGAGAGGAACCAAGGCAGAGACTGACTGATTGGTGTATTTGGCCATTAACTTACTTTAAATCTTGTGATCTCAGGCTTTAGTGGATAAAGTTTACTTTAGGGGTGAAGGGGTGTTTCTGAAATTTCTGTATCATCCTGTGTCAGGACTGCCTGGTCCAGATTCTGCAAGGTGTTTGGATGGAGGCAGTCAGTTGTTTCAGGAGTCTTCACTGATGGGTGTAAACACAGAACAGGGATTCATTCACTCAGAAAGTGCTACAAAGCATGTTTCTTCTTTTCTTTCTATTCTGTGCTCATTTAAACTTCATGTTTAAGTGAACACAGGAACATTTTTTTAATATTTTTTATTAAAATTTTTTTTTACTATTAATTAGATTTTATTCACTTTGTATTCCCCCATAAGCCCCTCCCTCCTCCCCTCCCGATCCCACCCTCCCTCCCCCTTCTTCATGCATGCCCCTCCCCAAGTCCACTGATAGCAGAGGTCCTCCTCTCCTTCCTTCTGATCTTAGTCTATCAGATCACATCAGGAGTGACTGCATTGTCATCTTCTGTGGCCTGGCAAGGCTGCTCCCTACTCAGGGGGAGGTGATTAAAGAACAGGCTAATCAGATTATGTCAGTCCCTCTTCCCATTACTATGTAACCCACTTGGACACTAAACTGCCATGAGTTACATATGTGCAGGGGTTCTAGGTTATCTCCATGAATAGTCCTTGGTTGGAGTATGAGTCTCTGGGAAGTTCCCTGTGTTCAAATTTATTCGTGTGTGTGTGTGTGTGTGTGTGTGCATGTGTGACATAGGTGCCCCTTCTAGGGTACAGCATGTGACAATTACTTACTTTTAGAGTGTTGACCAGTTCTGAGTATCTGAATTTACTACTGCCCACCCCAAGAAGAAGCTCCTCAAAGACTGAGAGAAACACTAATTTATGGAGTGAATTTCCAGGGCTTAATTGAAAGCTGAGGTTCTCAGATCCCTTCCGCTCCTGTGGCTCTCGTTAGCCCTGTGTGGGGCAGAGGTTGGTGAGCAGGAACTGTAGGTCTCTGCTGCCTCTCTAGTTCCTGGTGTTCTGCAATGTGGGGAAGGGAGACCACAAGTCATTTTCTGGTAGTCACTTCAGTCACCTGTACTGTTCCATGACATCTCCTGTTCCTGGGTGGTCTGGATGTCCCTGACTGTGCAGTTTTTATACCCAGGTTGATTCAGCAGCCAATTTGAGAGGACTCATAGCTGGGCCCTGGATCTTAGTTCACTCTTCTCTCCCTATAGAGAGCTCATTTGGCTCAACAGATTTTGTCTACCACAGGATAAGAGTTTACTATGTAGTTGTTCCTATTTTGTTTTAAAAATAACACTGTGTTTGCTTAAACATGAACTTCTAAACGAGATATAGAACAGGAAGAAAATCAGTAGCATCCCCCAGCACCATTTCCTGAGCATGTGGAAGGTTCTCTAAGATGAATCATAAATGGTTAGATTTTTGTAATATTTGAAATAGGGAGTTTTCATTGTTCAATTTTACTTCTTGCCCCCCCCCCCAAGGGTTTCTCAGAAGAAGACTTTCAAAATGATCCTAAAGCTCTCACTTTATGAAGTTCTGGTAAGGATTTTTATCTGTCATGACCTTTATTGAGCATCTAACACAAGGATAGGAGGGCATAATAGGACCTAGCGGCAGATGAGAGAGTATGTTGAGTTCGAATTATAGAAATTTGGATTATCTTAATCATGGTGGATTATCTTAATTATGGTGTACATGGGTAGAACACCAGGGCTATCTGAATGACAAAACAAGGTTAGTCTCACTACTCTTAGACAGAATGTCTGAGCGAGAGAGTGCCAGGAGTGCATTTTTGCTGTTGTAAAGTGTGTTTGAGAGTGTGATGCTGTTTGTAAACTAATCTCACCATTACTGTGCAGCAGCAACTGAGACAAGATTTATAGCCAGATTAGCCAGGTTCTTAGCCAGGCTCTGCCGAGCACCAATTTTATTTTATCCTTTCAGAGAAGTTTGTTAACCATGCTGTGTCTCAGTTTCCCAGTCTTTAAATTGAGGCCATCAACACCTCATTGTGGGGGTGTTGTAGTGGTTGAAGGAACGATGTGCACAGGGAATTTGGTCTGGTCCTTGGCATTATAGACATTAAGCAAATTCTTGGAGCTGGTGCTTTTTAGATGAGGTTAAGGCACAGAACAATTAAGTACTCTGTCGGTGTGTTTCATTGCTCATAAGTGGCCAAACTGGGATTTGAACCTCGGCATTGTGGCTTGAGGATGTACGCAGCAACTCTAGTATATGTGAACTATTGGTTATATTTTAGTGGCACTGCCAAGATTACTATAATTTTGGTGAAATATTCATTCTGTATAAGAAACATGTTCTTCAAATCTGATCTTATTAATCAAAACATAGATAATCCTATTAAGCCTCAAGACAAAACTATATAACTAAAACCTCCTTGGGTAGATAAAGATGACTGTTGTAAAGGCCACATTTAGCTGAAATTTGAACCAGGGTAAGGATGAATGGCTTATTGGGCAGTTCATACCCAAAATAATCTAACAAAATTGAATGAATTCTTTCCATTGTTATTCCTGGCTCACTGGAAAGTCAAAGCTAGGGTCATGTTGGGGCAGCTTAGAGTGGGGGTCTTGAGGAACAATAAGCAATAGCATTATGAATACATACTTCCTTAAAGTTTCTTTCTTACAATCTTCCTACAATCTAGTCTCTGTGTAGTAATTATCAAGGTCTTTTGTAAGATTCAATCAGAATCTAACTTTCCCTACTTAATGTCCTCTCTGACATTCCATGGCACTCTGCTTCCCAGTTTTATTTTCAGCTTCAAGTACGAAATGCCCAGGTTTCCTCATTATATTCAGTTCTGTGCATGCAATCTGTCTTTGAAAAAGCCATGTTTATTCTGACCTTAGGGCCTTTGGCCACTGCTCTTTGGAAAGCCTTACCCCAGGCTCTACATTTGAACGCTTCCTCTTCATGACTGGTCTGTTGAGAGTTGTTTACTTTGAGAACCTATCTGGCCACTTGGATGAATCTAGTCCATTCACCTTCCAGATCCTGGCTCAGACCTTGCTTCAATTTCTTCATATCAGTCATCACCCCTGGCATGATATTAAGTGTTTATTAACCTATTAATAAATTTTACAAAGTTAAGGACTTGACTTTGCTCCTAAGCACTTGCCACATGATAGATATTTACAGAACAAAAGAATACAGCTTATGTGTCTCCAACTCCTTAAAATTAATCAGATACTGCCAGCCTAACATAACCTTGTAAATTCCAGGGTTCTAAAAATGTCAGCCTGAAAAAAGTAACCTTTTCTCTCACTCTCTAAAAATCCCCTACATTGCTTGTAACAAACTCCTTTATCAGTGGCTTTTGGATAGCCCCAAAGCTATTTACTTGGATGAGTCTCACAGTTGGTTCTTTCAACAGCAGCACAATCTGGTCTTGGCTTCAAACTTGTTTTTATATAGTAAGCATGCTGACTATCTCCACCTGATTGCGGGTGTTTCTCTTGGATCACAACTAAGAGGCCCCACTCTCAGTTCCTTCCCTGTGTTCCCTTTTCTTTGTGCATCCAAAGAAAAGGCACAATTGCAACATTCTTCACTGAAATATAAGCTGTTTGTTCTTTACTGCTTCCCTCATTTTCTGTAGATCTCTGTCAGGCAACTTAGATTAGGCAACATCTATAAGACACGGGCCAGATTTCTGAATTTTTATTTCCAAGAAAAAGGTGTGACTGTGATCTTGAGGGGAGGAAACAAGAAGATACCATATCACAGAGCTGAATTTCCCTTGGAGGAAATATCTTTATTTTTTTCTTCAGAAGCTGTGATCTCTTCAATTAACTGGCTGATTGATTTTCTAGGTATATCTTTACAAAAATTTATGACCTTCACAAATAAAAAAGGAATTGGTTTTAGCTTTACAGTTTGCCTTTATTATACAAAAAAAAAAAGAGATGAGATAGCAAAGTAATGTTGGTATCAAGTTATATACATTATATAAAATTATCTGTATATTCTAAAACTTCTGATATTTATTTTTATATACTCTTTCCTTGGTAATAAGAATTTGTGTCAATTTGAGTATGTAAGAAAACAGCACACACCACAACATTCCTACCAGCTGGAGAAGATAATGTGTTATCCTTTTTAGGGGACCATCCACTCAGTATTTAAGATATTTCTCTCCACTGTCTTAGATTCCTACGCAAGTTGACCTGGTGTCAAGCAAAGACAAACATCACTTTAAGGGTGAAACAACTGGAAATTGTGGTAAACAGAAACAACAAACCTGACTGAATGGAGCACCATGATTTGGTTGATTTTGACTCTGGTGTTGCTGAAGGAAAACTCTCATGGCTTAACAAGCGATGCATTGCGATTACATCCTGGAGCTAAGTCAGGATGTGCTGTTGCTAACTCAGTTAGAACTTCTCTAGTAGCAAAAGTGAACAAGTGTGAAGGGCCACCAACTGAAAACCTGGCCACATTAGCTTTCCATTGATACCATAAGACATGAAGCCTTCTGAAACAATACGACTTTGTCATCTTTCGGTTCTGTGAATCAGAAGTCTAGGTGAGTCTGACCCATTTCTCTTTTCTACTTCTCCCAAGGTAATGAGGTCAAGATGCCATTCTGGCCCCTTATCTAGAGGTTCTAGGGAGAAATGTCCTTCTAAGCTCCCTCAACTCTTTTTTAAAACTTTTAAAAATTAACTATTTATTCACTATATCCTGCCTGATCCTATCCCCTTTCCTCCTCTCCTCCTGGTTTTACCCTCCCTCCCTTTTCTCCCACACCCCTTTCTTTACACCTCAGAAAATGGGAACCCCACCCACCCACCCTAGCTCATCAAGTGGTATCAGGACTGAGCATGTCCTCATCCTCTGTGGCATGGTGAGGCAGTCCTGCCAGGGCGGAGTAATTAAAAAGTAGGCAGTAGAGTCCATATCAGAGACAGCCCCTCCTCCCCTTACTAGGAAACCCATATGAAGCCTGAGCTGCCCATCTGGTACATCTGTGTATGGGGGCCTAAGTCCAGTCTATGCATGGTCCTTGGTTGGTGCTCCTGTCTCTACAGGCCCCTCTAGGTCCTGGTTGGCCCTGTTGGTCTTCTTGTGAAGCTCCTGTCACCTCCACATCCTATCCATCCACTCTCCCTCCCCCAACTCCGACATGACTCCTTATGCTTTACCCAATGTTTGGCTGTGCATCTCTGCTGGGTGTAGGTTCTCAGAGGACAGCTATGCTAGGCGCCTGTCTGCAAGCATAGCAGAATAGTTAACAGTGCTAGGGGTTGGCTCTTCCTCATGTGGTGGGTCTCAGGTTGGGCCGGACATTGATTGGACATTCCCTCAATCTCTGCACATCTTGTAGGCAGGGTAAATTTTGGGTCTAAGGTTTTGTGGGTGGGTTGGTGTTACCCTCCCTCTGCTAGGAACACTGTTTAGTTAGAGAGTGTCCTTTTCAGTCTTCATGACCTCTGCTACTAGGAGTCTCAGCTAGAGTCACCCCCCCCATCCTGTCCTAGGTCTCTAGCTTGACACAGAGATGCCTCTGCCCAGTTTCTCTTCTCTCTGCTGGCCCTAGAGCAAGGTGTAGGAGTACAGAGGGCCTGCAGAGAAATCATGGGCTTCTTCGACTCTTTTGCAGCCTCAGGGCCAAATGTTCCTTTATTGACACAAGTCTGCATTTTGCATATTATGGCCCATCTCAAACTTTCTACCCTTTCAACATCCCTTCCCCTTCATCTCTTTCTCACCTATCAACAGCGGAAAGCCTTCTGCTTGCAGTGGCTCAGATGTCTGCACGGCACACATCTGTATAGACCAGAATGCCTTTCTCTCAGTGGGGCCTTGATGCTCTTTGTCATGCCTGTAGTTTCAGACAGAGCATGTGGGCAGACACGGACCGTCTATACTTCTGGATCTACACTCTGTGCGTGTTTCAATGTTTCACATTTATATCACCTGTGCTAATCAGTTTTAACTGTCAACTTAAGACAACTTAGAGCAGCAGTTTTCAATCTGTGAGTCATGACCCCTGTGGGGGGTGGATCTAACAATCCTTTCACAGGGGTCACGTAGCGGATATCCTGTGTGCTGGATATCCACACTATGGCATATAACAGTAGCAAAATTGCAGTTATGAAGTAGCAATGAAAATGATTTTATGGTTGGGTGTCACCACAACATGAGGAACAGTATTACAGGAACACAGCATTAGGAAGATTGAGAACCACTGGCTTAGCGTCACCTTGGAAACAGCTGAATGAGGAATTGCCTAGGCAAGTTGGTCTGTGGGCACATCTGCAGAGAATTGTCTTGACTGTTACGTGCTGTGAGGTGACTTACCTTGAATGTGGATGTCACTGTGCTATGGACCAGGCCACGGAATGCACAAAGGGAGAGAAAGCCAGCTGAGTACAAAGAGAGCAAATGAGCAATGTCTGCATGTTGATCACCCTCTGCTTCTGACTACGGACCTGGTGCTTCTGCGCCTGTCCTGAAGTCCCCGAGATAACGGACTGCAACCCGGAACTGTAAAACAGATTAACTCTTTCCTTCATGTGTTGTTTTAATTTTGTTAGGGTAATTTATTACAACAGCAGAAATGAAACTAGAATATAACCTGTTTTCTACTCCTTAAACATTTCATTCTTACTCCTTCCTCAAAGAGTTTGTACTTTCCATGTGTCTTTTGCCTGGAATGATCAGGTCCCAATTTCCATAGAGACATTCCTCTGTCCTTTGTCATCATTGAGGTTCATGCCTCGTATCTCATATGAGAGACAATTCGTGGTCCTTCTTGTCAACTACCTCCCACACGTCAGTGACTCTCATGGCTCCAAATTACGCCATTCCTTTACACTACCGCAACTATCACTGTCGTAATGTGTACTCTTCTGCCTCTTCCCACCATGCTTGCAGCCACTCGAGCTGTCTCATTCACCACTCTATCACATGTATCAAGAGCAATGTCAAGAACAGGAGAGAAGATAGTAATTTTGTGTGTAAATTGCATTGTCTTTTTTGATTAAAACTTTTGTTTAAATTTATGCTTTATTTGTCAACACGTTTTTATTTATCCTTTGACAATTACATACATATAAAATTCTGTCGGGAGCCGCTCCCGCCATTACAAGATGGCGCCGGCTTCCTGCTTCCTGGTTCTTCTTGCCAGCATTTTCGCGCTTCTTGCCTGCGCCGCCCTGCAGTTTACGCATGCGCAGCTTTATGCTAATGAGGGTTTAGGCTGCACTCCAATTGCCAGCCATATGCTTATGAGAACTTAAACAGAGCACCAATTACAGACGGACAGGTCGCGCTGCTGGCTATTTAAGCAGAGCACAACCCGGGGTTTGGGTCCTTCACCATCTGCAAGAAAGAGCTGTACAATAAACTTGCCGCTGAAGAAATCCTCGGTTGTTGCGTCGTCCTTATC